AAGGGAAGATCTGGACCTCTGACATTAAATTTTGACGTTACTAAAATTTTACGCATTTTCGTCATTAAACTATAGTAAATACAGTATGGAGTCATATGTAGAAGTTCACTCAAGGGAGGAAAATTCTCTGATCGCCATTCACATGGGAGTGGCCAGAAACGATTCTTTTGCATAGGGCTCAAGCTGCTCACGACTTCCGGAAGGCGAGCTAAAGTGAAAAAGCGAACCATGTCTACTCAAGGYTGTACGTTGGGTTTGGGACCYGCAATAAAAACTAATCAATACCCTGTGGATGAACGGCTAGCCACAATCCGCATCAAAGCGAAGTTTTTCAACATATCCCTGATTGACGCCCACGCCTAGATGGAAGAAGCGTACCTATGAGAGTTGCTCCCGCCACGATGTCAAAATCGGGATTGCCGACTTTAACGAAARGGTGAACAAAACAGGTATCTTTAACACAACAGTCGGTAAATTCAGCTTCCACGAGGAAGCATCCCCAAATGGGATGAAGTTTATCGACTTCGCTGGGGCCCAAAATATGTTTATCTGTGATCCCAGATACCAGCGTAGAGTATTCACGAATTACCTGGCTGCCTCTGGATCGAAAAGCCACCAACTAGATCGATCATGTTATGATAGACCGAAGACACGTTTCCAGTATTTTAGACCTGCGTACGCTCCGAGGTSTTACCATCGACTCTTACCACTATCTTGCTGTCTTGCATGTCAACAAATACAAGGAAGGTTCGACGTCGAGAAGCTGCAATCACAACAGACAGCCGAACGCTTTTCTACTCGAATTGTACTCCTGCTCTCTGAGAGCACTCGTCAATAACTCGGTATAAGGGAACTGTGGGACTGCATTTCCTTACATACAGCTGCAACCGCAACCATTCGCACTAACACAATTTAATTTTGTGAGTCGTTTCGGTTGTGATTTAGCCAATCCCTGATCATATCGAATTTTAGGTTTCAATTTGAAAGCACCTCATTTAAACAATTACTACAGCTATTAGATACATACTTGTCATTCCCGTACTACGCCTTACAATCCCAAGAACCAAGACAGCATCGCTTTTCAAAAGCTGCACGTCTATGACATAACATTTTACTGGACTTAGATGTAGCAACAGCAGATCCAGCCTATGGTGAGAGTAGTCTGTGAATTTTCGATAGATAGCAAACCGAAAAACAGCGAAGTGGATATGCCCAAGCAACTACGTACGTGTGTGAGAGTCATGCTTGGCATGCAAACCCGAAAGTTTCGTTCACTCTGGGTTAAAAACTCTCTGCTTTTTCTTTATTGTCGTAAGCGGTGTACGCCATTATAGCCGAGTTAACAACAGCGCGCCAGTCGTTTCTCTATATTCCAAGCGAAGCCAGGTCCTTCTCCACTTGGTCCTTCCAACGGAGTGGAGGTCTCGAAAACTCGCAACGTCGACTCATCAGATGTTGTCATCGTCCGTGTCTCTGCAGTATACAGCAGGACGGGAATAATGAGTGCCTTATAGAGTTTGGTTTTTGTTCGTCGACAGAGGACTTTACTTATCAATTGCCTACTCAGTCCAAAGTAGCATCTGTTGGCAAGCTTTGAAATCGAGGAAGAGGTAGTGTGTGTCGATTCTTCTTAAACGAGTCTTTTCCAAGATTTGGCGCATGGTGAATATCTGGTCGGTTGTTGATTTGTCAGGTCTAAAGCCACACTGATAAGGTCCAATCAGTTTGTTGACGGTGGGCTTTAATCTTTCACACAATACGCTCGATAGAACCTTACACGCGATGTTGAGGAGGCTTATCTCACAGTAATTGACGTAAATTGTGGGGTCTCCCTTTTTGTGGATTGGACAGAGCACACTTAAATTCTAATCATTAGGCATGCTTTCGTCCGACCATATTTTACAAAGAAGCTATTGCATGTTTATTATCAGTTCTTCGCCGCAATTTTTTTTTAACTTTTTAAATCGCTTAAAACTCTCGGCTTAGCGAAGAGAAAAATGAGTTTTTTTAATGCTAAATAGATTAAAAGAAAATATAAAGATTAATGGATACCGAAATATGCAAAGGCACGAGAGCATCCATTGCAGCATCTAGTGATGTATGAGCGACTACTATAATAAGTTTTGTGAATAAATAAATACACAAACAAAACAAATTACAAAAGATTAACAAATAAATTTTGAAAATACCAATCACTTCTTAGAAACAAAAACTTGTTAATTTAATTATTGAAAAAGCCACTTCTAATATACTACGACTTCTGGATGGTAGTTGTTTCTTTACTTTTTGAAGCTTAAAATAATTAAACATTTGAACTCTTTAGGAGACGATAGCTATTGGAAAACTATAGATGAGTATCAAGAGATCAAGTTACGTTGCTATTGTGCTTTATTAAAGATTCATCACAGTTTAGCAACGCTCAATCCATCAGGCATTTTTCAATAGATCTACAACTAGCTTTAGCCTTATATCGTTAACTACACAGGAGTATGAGATGGTGAAACGCTTTACTAGGTCTAAATATGTGTGTGTATGTATATTAGGGTGATTAAAAAAAATTGTTTTTTTTTTCATTTGGTACTCTGAAAAATAGGTTCCTAGACACCTCTAAGGAGACCTCTCCAAGAATAAATTCTTAACTGTAACGGGAAGGTCCTCCTACTTACAGTTTTCTTATATCTCACTTCCAACTACTTGAAAAAATATCTTGTTCCTTAGATTTTGTAGGAAATTGAAATGTTTCCTTGCGTGAACTTCTACACATGACTCCATCCTCCGCCTAATCTATTATTGTATGTGATTAACAGTTAAGGATGCGACTTGTACGAGTAGTAGCGATGCACTTTGGTGATGTACATGACGCTCTTATAGTTCGTAATAGTGCTCTCTCCACTCAAGAAATTCTGCTTTTACATCGCTGACCACGCTTATCACACCATTTCTATCGAATTCACAACAAATGAACTATGCGAAGCTAAAGCTTTCACCTTACGTAATAGATTCGCGTAAGAATTGAAAATGGCTTTGGAATTCTACAAAAACGCTTTGGCTTTTTTTTCTAAGAATTAAGAACGAATGGACAAAGTAAATCATATTCTACATTCCAAATAGTTAATTTTTTGTGCTATATTGCGTAACATCCTACGAGCTACTTCTGACGATGTGGAAAATGTAGAAAGTATGAGTGTTAATATCGACGAATAACCGGATGAACTTTCCACATGAAAGTCAGTGAATAAATAATGAATTAGCAATATATGACATACATTTTTTAATTGACTTAAACCTTTTTAGCATGTGGAAACCTGCAGAAGATATCTCAAAAACCGGTATCAGGTATACCAACTTAATTTTTGATATATTTTACCATAAGATCATACTTACGAAACCTAAACAAATAACCTAACTGACATAAGTATACATAAATAAGTACAAATGTAGATTAATATATTTTATTACTCTTTTCATATTTTTATATATTTTATACTTAGCCACTCTTTCTCCCATTTTCATGTGTAACAATTTATATTTTTCTTCTATCACTAATATTTTTTTAATTCTATATCTATTGTCCCTCGAGTGCACCAGAATTTGAAATTGATTGACACAAGTTTGATATTTTTTTTCTACCAAACGGAAATATAATTTTTAAATTCTACCACTATGTATTGTAGCACAGCCTATTAATAACAGTAATTTTTTTTTTTCTGGCAACACTAGTCGAACGTCATTTGTCAAATTCGATCATTTGTTTAGCGCGGTACTTGAACAGTCTGAGTTTGTGTGATTTGATTGTTTGGGTAAAATTTAGAATAGCATTCCCGGATTTCGAGGATAAAATGGGTGTCATTGGAAAGGTGACGTTCTCCAGATCACTAAAATTTACATATATAGTTGCCGCTGACTTATAGTTTTAAAGATATTTGCGTTTAAAGTTAAAAAATGTACAACTTTTAAATTGATAATTTGTTTATTGTGAATAAATTTTTCGCTTATATTATGCACTTTTCACTTACTAACACTTCACTATAACGTTTTTGTATATAAATTTTTTTTAATATTTATTGCAAATAAAGCTTTATTTCAATTATTTTGTTTTAGTTAAATTCACTGCATTTGCACAACAAGAATAGGGCTGCATACTAGCAAATAAATGGTATTGCCATATCTGCCTAGTTGTCATCAAAAGAAAATAAGCAAAAGCATTATACCCCGCTTCAAAAAAAATAACCCTGGCCGATCCAAAACCGGGGTGTTCAGAGTTCTTTCGCGTAGAACTCCCTTCTGCAACTTGTTTTTTTATAAAAAAATGATAAAGGTTTTTGGCGTTTTCCTTTTATGTATTTGGGGCATAAAGTTTTTGCCTATGTTCTTTTGTTGACAACTAGGCAGATATAGCAATACCATTTATTTGCTAGTATGCAGCCCTATTCTTGTTGTGCAAATGCAGTGAATTTAACTAAAACAAAATAATTGAAATAAAGCTTTATTTGCAATAAATATTAAAAAAATTTATATACAAAAACGTTATAGTGAAGTGTTAGTAAGTGAAAAGTGCATAATATAAGCGAAAAATTTATTCACAATAAACAAATTATCAATTTAAAAGTTGTAAATTTTTTAACTTTAAACGCAAATATCTTTAGAACTATAAGTCAGCGGCAACAATATATATATATTTTCGTGGTCTGGAGAACGTCACCTATCCAGCGATACCCATTTTATCCTCGAAATCCGGGGATGCTATTCTAAATCCTAGCCGATTGTTTCGTTATTACATATAATAAACAAATATATAAGCTGTAATACAAATATATTTTACAATAAAAATAACTTATCGTATCATTGATACAACTTTGGAAATATGCCGTGGCACCTGCAGGTGACACTGGGCAATATAATAACTTTACTGTTGTTTGAATTCGTAAGTAATAAGAAGAGTATTGTTTTTAATAGGGCTTGTTGCCATGCGGTGATATTGCTTTGTAGCTTGTTTACGTATTACAGGTTGACGTTAGATGAAATTGCCGAAGAGTTGGAGGCCGGAGATGACCCAGGCGATATTATTTTATTTCCTCCTGATGATGGTGTGGTAACGGACGAAGACAGTGGGGATGAAAYTGAAGCTAATATTCTTCATCTTTCTAGTCGCATGCTTCAAACTCCAGTAGAAATACAAAAGAGACTTTCCATCTCTGGAGACAATTGTTTAGATAATCTGGAAGAAGAAGGGGTAGAAGTGGAAGTACCCGCACCGAAAAAAAAGAAAAAAGAAAATACTATAAAGAAATGGTACAGCAGTGTCAGCAATACTTCTTTTATTACTTGCGGTAAAGGAGACTGTGATGAAGAAGTTTCCTTGAACTCTCGGATGGAGATGTCTGCCGTCGAATGTTTTGAATTGCTCTATAGCGACGACATAGTAAAGTTCATAACTGATATGAGCAATTTGTATGCTTTGCAGAGAAATCGCACTCTAAATGTGACTAGTGATGAAATTAGAGTTTACATTGCAATACTGCTTCTTACGGAATATTTAACGCCAAAGTACATGCGAATGTTCTGGGAAGTAAAAAGTGACACGCACAATGAACTAGTGGCMTCTAGTATAAGGCGAAATAGATTTTTTGAAATTCAGCAGTACCTTCATCTTTCAGATAGTGCATCCTTGCCACCCAACGACAAATTCGCTAAAGTTCGACAATATATCACGAAACTAAACGTAAATTTTACTGCCAATTTCGAAAAAACTGGTTCTTCACACTTTTTCCATAGACGAAACTATAGTACCATACTTTGAAAGGCACGGTATCAAGCAACATATACACGGAAAACCAATAAGATTTGGTTATAAGCACTGGTCAGCAGCTACACGACATGGATATTTGATCAATTGTGAGCCTTATCAGGGCGCGTCCGGCCCTGGCCTGAAAATGCAGTCTGAGTTAGGCCTAAGAGCTGCTGTTATTTTAGAGCTCTATTCAAGATTACCAATTGAGTTAGTACCTTACCACTTATATTTTGATAATTTGTTTTACTATATTACCGTTGCTAAAGTATTTGCGAGATCACAATGTTGTTACATATGTCATAAAGCTTCGGAGGAGGTTATTGCAGCTAAATGGCACAATAATAGTATCGTCACCCATCAAAAAAGTGGATCGAATTGGATTTGTGGACAAAAAGCGGTCTTAAATTCAAGTCGATTGCGCAGCCATTATCAATATGTACAATAAGTACATGGGTGGAGTAAACCGTTTTGACGAAAACGTTCACTCCATGAGAGTAGCTCTTTGCGGTAAAAAGTGGTGGTTCCCGCTCTTTGCTTTTAGCTTAGATGCAAGTTGCCAAAATGCATGGCTAATCAAAAGGAATTCAGATAACAACTGGACCTACTGCAATTTCCGTCAAAATGTGGCAACTATCTACTTGCAAAAATATGGCAAATCTCCCACCCGCAATTCTGTTTGTGGTGTTCCTGTGCAGATGAGAGTGCGTATCGAGGTGAGGAGTGAAGGAAGTGCGGATGATGAACGAAGATGCGGATTTTGTCACCAAAGCACTAGAAAAATGTGTACCAAGTGTAATATTGGTTTGCATGTAAAATGCTGGTACAACTTTCATAATAAATAAGTGTTAATTTTTTTTGTAATAAGTACATAAATAAAGATTACCTATCATAATAAAACTGAAGCCTTTTTCCTACCGAAAGAAAAACGCATGTCTTTTGGAGTTTTCATTGCCCAATGCCCAGTGTTAATGGTAGGTGACACTCCCATAAAAAAAGTAGGGGTAGGTTACATATTTTTGATATTTTTTTTTTGTCGTATCCAAACTGTTTTATATAAAGAGATTTTTTTTTTGCCAAAGCTTGGTATCCAGCTCTCAAGAAATGTTAAAGCTTCATATAAAAAAACGCTTAAGAAACGGTCAAGACACTTTCCTGCGATAAATTTACTTGTGTTGGTATGCAGCTCTAAAGAAATCTAGTACTAATTTTAATACATTTTTTCAATAAAATGCGAACATGGCAAACCTGATTTTGCGAAGAAACATCAAATCAACAATTGTTTCTTGAATGAAATTCAAAGTAATCTTTAAATTCGTCCTAAATTAGTTAAAATCTTTGTTATGAAGTATATTTCATTTTGGAATGTTGTATACAAAGTTACCAATTATCAACAAARTTCCTTAAATCGCAAGGAAAGTATTTATGTTACACACGCATAAATACATACATAATACGCACAAAATTTATTTTCTTTGTTTATTCTCTCTTGCTCTTCTAATATGGATCATTCACAATGTGTAACTAGCTGTCAGAGTTACTTGAAGAAATAATGTTTTTTTTTTTCTTGAGCAATTACTTTAGAGCTGGATAGCAACCTTAACTTGGACATGGGAATTGAAGTGTTAAGGATATATTTAAGAATCTTTAAAAGACTTGGAACATAATAATTGCTGATGTTAATTCGTTGCTGGCTCTACAACATTGTATAAACGTATAAGTAACAAATCCTATCATTTTCACTCATACATACGCAGGCGAAAGCTTATAGAATGACAGAAATTACATTAAGAATGCAATAGAATGAGGAAAGACTCAGGGCAAAAGCTAAACCAGTTCGTTAGGGTTTCCTAAATATTGTACTACTAAAACGGCCAAATGCGTTAGAAAAGGCACGAGTGTTGCCGTGTTATGGTACCCAATTTATTATTTTAAGTACGTTTTATAAAATTTTCAAATGTATTTCGATTATTAAAGTTCATAAAGATTAAATTTACCTAGTTTTTATTAAAATTTTATTTATTGTATCAAAATAATTGTAAATCTTTTTTAAGTCCTTTTATTTGAATCTCTGTGCCGAAAAATCAACTATTTCGATCAGGTGATCTCAGCTGTTGACGATCATGTGATTCTTTTGTTACTTGTCTGTTTCTACCAGGAACAGGGTTGCCGATTTCGTAAAATTTTACCAAATGTGGTAAATTATTTTCCTCTTGGTAAAATGTGAAATTTTTATTCATTTAGGTAAATTTTCAAAATTTAAGTCCATTTCGATTGAATTGTATTATCTTTCATTTTTTTCAAATAGTTTTGTAGAAACATTTTAAAAACGTACTATAAAATTCTTCCCTGGTTAGTAGTCTTAAGCACATTTCACATAAATGAAACCAGCACTGTTCCAGCGTTGGCATAAATAAAAAAAAATTTATCAAATAACAACAGCCACAGTAAAAACACCAATGTGGTTGCAGTTATTTGGTTAATTTTTTGTTTATGGCAACGCTGCACTGTTCTTCTGCTTTCCACGTGTCAAGTGATTTTGGATATTGCGCGTTTAAATTTTTTTTAAATAAACTTAATAAATAATAACAAATCATGGATAGGTAAGTGAAAATGTGCTCATAGTTCTTTAATTTTGATTTCAATAAGAAAATCATCATATGCTTTATTCATTTAGATTTGTTATACGCAAAAGGCCTGCACCTCCTGAAGAGGAGCATGAAACCAGCAGTGACAGTGGMYGCAGGTAAGATAGTTTGCTAAATATATGGCCATATGTATCATGTCTTTATTGTGTGCAGTGAAACACATTGCGAAAAACAAACTTGGAGAAAATTCCGAGATGACTGGCTATCGAGATTTTCTTGGTTGCGGAATAAAGATGGGTGTAGCTATTGCATAGCTTGTAATAAGAAGCTGTCAAACCATTTATCATTTAAAAAAAAACATAATKTTTTCCCAATCTACAAACAAAACGAACAGAAAAGAAACATCAAATCCAAATGGACAAGTTTTTGGATGAAGAACAACAACAAATGTCTAAGCAAGTACATCAAGCGGAGTTTCTTATTTGCCACAATTTGCCATTTTTACTTATGGATTTCTTACCGAAACTGTTAACAGAGTGCTGTCCGGACTCTCGAATTGCACAGAAGCTTCATTGCGGCCGAACAAAAGCCACAGAATTGGTCGATCAGTTGGGACAAATTTTCTCTGATTGTAGATGAAACCGCGAATGTTTCGACAAAAAAAATGCTTAATTTTAATTGTTCGATTTTTTCACAAATTTTTAAGAAGTGTTCATGACATATTTTTAGGTTTAATAGAATTAAAGTATTGCGATGCGAATTCCGTCTACTTAGATATTAAAAACTCTTAATGCAACGAAATATTCCTCTTAAAAATGTTATCGGACTAGCAAATGTAATGGTCGGAGAATTGAATAGCCTAAAAGAAAAGTTGAAGTCGGACGTAGATTTTTTTTTTATCAAGTGTACTTGTCACTCCCTACATTTATGTTCAGCTTATGCGTGTAAACAGTTGCCGCATCAAATCGAACAACTTTGTCGCTCTATATACAGTTTGTTTTCTCATAGCCCGAAAAGAATCGAAGAATTGAAGGAATTTCAAGAATATTGTCAGATGGAGCCCCACAAAATATTAGGCGTTTCTTTAACAAGATGGCTTGCCTTTGAGCGGGTTATTAATAGAATTGTTGAACAATGGCTTCCACTATATTTATATTTTCTCGATCGTGTGTTAGAAGTGAACGGTACTAAAACTTCATACCTGGCATTGCAAATGAATGAGCCCGATGTAAAGGTATACTTTCTTTTTTTATCCTACATTCTGAAAATTATCAATGATATGAATAAAGAATTTCAATCAGAAAAGGTTAGATTGCCATACTTACATTTGCATTTGGAATCCAATTTTAAATTAATATTGGTCAATTTTATGTACGAATACGAAGGAAGTTATATTCAAATACGAATAATAAGAAATGTTCTCAAATTTTACTTAGAGCTCTTAAAACAAATTAAGCGAGGATTCGACTTTTCAAGAGAAGATGTAAAAAATTTAGTAATAATAACACTCGGTAAAGTTTTATCCAACTCTGGATTATCGATTGAACTATTATTAAAAAACTTCGGAGGTTTGGCAACCAGCGATCCTGAAATTATAGGTAAGGCTTACCAACTTGGAACTGAACACGGAAATGAATATTCCAGACTTTTGGGACAATTTTCAGTTTTTAAAAATGGAATGGAAGAAGCATGCTTCCAAGATCTCACAAATTTTTTATATAATTTGATGACTTTACCCCACAGCTCAGCAGCTGCCGAACGGAAGTTTTCCGATTTGTCTTTAATTAAATCGAAAACAAGAAATAAATTGTCATATAAAACCACAATATTACAAATTATGTGTGGGCAGCGAAACATTACTTTAAATGAAATTTGATTGATTAATTTTGTCAAATGTAACCAACCACCTTTGATCCTAAAACTATGTTTATTTCAATGTTTTTGGTTTCTTCTGGCTTGTCAAATAACTTGTTATTGTTAACAAACGTTAAATGAGCTTGAAGGCCATTAGAATTTTGGAAAAATCGAAAAATCATCAACAATCAAAAAGGTCGAAGTTATAGCTATTGAGGAGATGTGATGATTGTTGATGAATTTTTGAACTTTCCTAAAATTCGTGTGGCCTTCTAGCTCAACGATTGTTAACAATAACTAAATTTATTTCATTCAAAGAAACAAGAAGTTATTTTATGACCAATTTTTTGTCAYTAATGTTAAGAGAAACACGACGTTATATCTTTTTTTATATTAATTTTAAGAGAAACAAGAACTAAAGTTTATTTGAAATACTTTTAATTTTTTTAATTATTTCTTTTGTAAATAAAAAACGCTTAAAAAAAGAAGTAAATGTGTTTCTTTTATTTTTTATAAATAAAATTCGTAAAAAAAAGTTTGGTAAATTTTTTTAAGGGATTTGGTAAAATAAAAATGTGATTCGCGGCAACCAT